CATCAAGTTGCTTTTACACAGCATCTGTGTGTATGTTTTACTTAATCCTGAGATTTTGATCAATTTAACTAAGTGGAGGGAGTTCCTGGGAATCAGTCACAAGACGGACTGACTTGCAATAACTTCACAGTAAAAGGAAATTGTAAGTCAAAATAGGAATTGACCCATCATTGACCTAATGGTCCTTAAGGAAAACATTGGTTGACTAACCTCTCACCTGGCAAATATTCTACTAGGGAGAACAAATTAAATATTGATATATAGTCTCAGCCAGCTTGGGAGGAAACCTCTGGGCAAATTTCAAGCACTGTGATGGAATATTTCTTGGAGAGGAGCAAGGGAATGCTTTTGTTCTCTCATTTTTTAAATTAATTGAGGTAACTGGCTTACACATTGAAAAAGACTTAGAGGTATAGGACCACCCACTTCAGGGGTCACCTCACCACATGCACCTTTGGAGTCCCAGAGCACAGAGCAAGGGGCAGCTCTGGGGCCCAGCAAGCCCATGCTCACGCCAGAGCACGCAGCTCACTGAGCCACAGGGCCGGTTTGGCCATATCACATGCACATGAGAGCAGATCTTGGAGGGAGATAATGCCAACTAGATAAGAGGAAACTCGCAACAGGGCTGGTGCAATGGGGGTGCTCAGTGCGTGTTCATCTCTTTTCCTCTTCTTGGAAGGAATTTCTCCTCTCATCACTTACAGATTTGTCCATTGTCACCTTCAAGGATTCAGGGAGGCTCTTGCTCAAGGCTTTCTCCAGCATTTGCAGCATCTGGGCACCTTGCAATGGGAACATCGTGGAAGACACCTTAGCCTAGAGAGACAACCAAGAGGAGACTTGGGACAAGAGAACAATTCTGTGCTAATAGCAGAGCCTCTTTACTGGGTCTGCATCGGTGTCACCTTCCCTCAAGTCCTCAGCAAGTCCAAGGAAGGAGGAGACAGGCAGAGAATGCTGGAGCAGGTGGGGAAGCACATTCTGATCCTCACTTCACTTTCCTAAAAGCTCAGTGATTCTGGTCACAGCTTTACTTTAGATTACTAAACACACTTTTAAATAGATACACTTTCATCTTTTAAAATATTAGTGACTGTCTAGTGATTATCTACCTGTAATAAACTCTGTTACCTTGGAAAAGGCACCGAGCCTCTCTGCACCTTGGTTTCCTCACCCTGGAAGGGAGAAGAACAGCACCGTCAAAGGGAAAGAAGTTTGCAAAGACTAAATGAATTACGGCACTACATGCATAAATCAGTGTATGGAAGAGTCTGTTTCGCAGATGGACATGTTTTATTACTATTCCCACTTCTCAGCAACTTGTGAGTGGACCTCAGGACCTTTGACCCAGTCATTCCAGAAGCTGAATTTCAGTCAAAAGAAACATTTCACAAGAACATGTCACAAGAAGAGAAAAGCTCTGAACAGAGTTGGGAAAAGCCACCCTGACATAAACAGTGGCCAGAACCCCCGTGTCCCGCAGAGGGGACGGTGACAGGAAAGAGGGACGGTGCAGGGGGCAGCGCCAGGGGCTCCATCATGCTCTGTAGCAGGAGCCTGGAAAAGTGGCTGCACCAAGTCAGAAAGGGCAGGACACCCACCGCATCACCACAGACACTAACGCGGCGTGGAGGGGAACACGCAGACAGGCTGTGGTGGTGACGCGTAGGGGACTCGTCAGTGTGGTCACCGCGTGGCTTAAACCAACATTAACCTGGCCTGTGGTGTCGTCCTTGCTCGTCCTCTAAACTTCTCTGACTTGAAGTTCAACAACCGTCTTGTCAGCTGTGCAGGGGCGATGCCTCCCTTGGAACACCGGGGAAGGACTGACACAGCCATGTTTGCTTGTCCCAACCATGACGCAAAGTCACCCACAGCCCGCCAGTGCCCAGCTGTCTCCCTGCACGCCCCGTCCACACAGGCCAACTTCCCCGGGGCAGCAGCACAGCCCGGGCTCCTAGACAGGCCGCCCCCGTCCAGCCTGAGCCTTCCCGGGCTGCAGCGGCCCCGCATTCTGAGCACAACACCCATGAGCATCCTGTCTCCTTTGAGTGGCAATGATGTCACAAAGCAGTGATTACCTTTTCTTGCCACGGGCCCTCACCTGTAAGGCTGCGTCCACAGGGATGTTTGTGGCTGTCCTGAAAGAGATGAAGAGGCGCGAGGACACTGGCCACTGACAGGGTTGGCTCTGCAGGGCCTCACAGGGAGCCTTCTGCTCTGTCTCTCCTCAGACCATGAAGTGAGGCTCCTCATGTGGGCCATGCACTGAGCTGGAGACAATTCTGGGCGTTGTTTCTAGTGAAATCCAGCCCTTTCCTGTCTCCTGTGGAGGAAACTGGCTGTGCAAGGTTGGAGGCTGCCACGGAGCCATTGGAGTGTCCCTTTCTGACCCCCAGGTTCTATATTTCAGACCAATTCAGACTCAACCTTTAGCAGTTTAATAATATTTAAACTGATTTTCTCTTATCTGCTTGTATGGCTTTCATCTTGTTCTTCCCATGCTCTACCTTGGATCAGACCCTCTGTGTGTCCTTTTGTCTAGTTTTTGTCTTTTTATTTTTAATTTTGGGGTTACGTTTTTGCTTATGCATATGTACACATCTTCCTCTCACTCTTCCTCTCACTCTCCACCCCATCTAACTCTCTCCCTTACCCTTCTCTTTTCCCTGCTGTGGCCTCTTTAACGAGTAAATTCTTTCACTAAGTCCAAGAGTTGTTCCTGTTCTATTTTACCTATGCATGTTTTTTGATTATTTATATTCCACAAATGAGTAAAGGCTTCTGATATCTTTCATTTTCCAACTGATTGCACTTAACATCACCACAAGACCCCTCCATTTTATCCCAAAAGACACTATTTCATCACTTTTAACAGCTGCATAATATTCCATTGAGGATCTATTCCACAATTTCTTTATTCATTCATCTGTTGAAAGTCACTTAAATTGGTTGCATGACTTGGCAATTGTGAACAGTGCTGCTATGCACATAGATGTACATTAGTCTTTTTATATTCAAATTTTCATATTTTTGGATAAATACCTAACAGAGCTATTGCTGGATTATACAGGATTTCCATTTTTATTTTCTTAACAAATCTCCATACCATTTTCTAAAAGACAACCCCACCTTGCACTCCCACCAACAGCAGATGAGAGTTCCCTTTTCTTTACATCCTTACCAACATTTGTAATTTCCATCTTTTGATATAGTCTGTTCTCACAGGTGTGAGGTGATATCTTACTGTGGTTTTGATTTGCAATTTCCTTATAACAAGTGATGTTGAACAATTCTCCACATGTAGGCCATCTGAAAAATGTCTATTTAGGTGAGAACCAAATGGGGAAGGAGCACAATGGACTATGGGATGAACTATAGGCGCTTTGGTGGTGGGTGTGGTGTGGTAACAATGCTGAAGGGGAGACCTATACCTCTAAAACACAAACAGGCATGTAAACTAATGTCACCTCAATAAAAAAAATATTTTCAATGTCTTTGTGAAGAACTGTCTTTGGTCCTGGATCTCCTAAGATTTTGTACCTGCTTATCTGCCTTTGACTGACATTCCAGTAGCTCATTTAGCATTTTTAATATTGTTGTTTTAAAGCCTTTGTGCAACAGGCCCTCTATTTCTGTATCCTTTATATATGTCCCAGAACTTCTGTTCTCATTTTGTTTTTCCATTTTGTCTTCACAACTTTCTTGCTTCCTATGAATGGCTGCCTTCATTTGCTTTCTTGTGGTTGCGATGCCATGGTTTTGTTTTTCGTTTTTCTTCTTTGTTTAACTTGGCATGAGGTAGTGGCAGGAGTGGAGTCTTGGGCTTACATACTTACTCTCAGTTTTATTGAGGAGTGAGGTCGGTTACCTCTGCCTCTCTCACCACAGTGAGGTCTGTTTCCTGCTTCTCTTGAGCTAACTTGTCCCTCTGACTCTCTGTTGCTCCTTTCTGCAGTGGATCCATGATCCATGAAGACTGAGTCTCCTGGTGGAGGGTTGGGGCAGCTCTGGTCATCAGGCTCATGCTACAGCATGAACTGGGCTTGGCAGGCAGGAGGCAACTGATTGTGGTGTGGGCTCCATTCCCCAGCTATAGCCATAGGCAAAGGCTGCCAACAGTAGCCTCCACTGATCCTCCCAGGAACCTAGAGTGTAAGTTCTGCTTGCACTTGATACTTTCCAAGGGATTGGTGAGCTCTCTCTCACCTGTCTTTTCTTTGCTATTGGGCCAGTGATGGAGGCTGGTGTGACTCTGCCTGGTGACCCTTTGATCTCTCATTTCTGGGAAGGGGTGGTAGGGAGCTTTCCTTGTTGCCTCTGGTGGTGGAGGTCCCAGTGTCCCAGGTCAGCCCTGCATCTGAGTGTGACCACACTCCCTTTCTGAGAAGCCCCTCCAGGGACATTCAGTGTCCTAAAGTGTCTCTTGGTGCTATGGACAGCCCATTCTGGAATCTACTTTCCTCCCATGATCCCCTTCACCCCTCCCCTGCCTTTCCCTGCAGCAAGTCCAGACCTCAAGGTGAGTCCTCTGGGAAAGTCCTGAGACTCTGTTGGGGAACTTCCAAATCTTCCTGGAGTAAATTCTTTTATAGATTTTAGGGGAAAAGCTGACCCTGGCCTCTCTATTCCACCATGATGTGGGTATTTCAGGTATATTTTATTTGTCAGTTATGCCATGATAAAGTTGGGTGAAGGGTGAGGGGTGAGGGAGAGGAGTGTGATGGAAAGAGGGAGAATCATACGATCTATCGTACCACAATGTGGCAACACTGCCAAGAAGTGCCCACAGGCACCAACCCTTATGTTGCCCAGAAGCAGCATCAGAGCAGCTAACTAAGGATTCTGAAATGCAGGAAACTAAAAAAAACAGGACTCACTCTAGGGAGGTTTGGCCATGAGATCTGGTGGCTTTGCGAGCAGGGACTCCAGGGGTTCTGCTGACCAATCACATTGCATGCCCAGGGCCAAACAACACAAGGTGCCTTACTGTGAATTTCAGTTTATTCTTGCTCTCTGCCTACCCACCCTTCCCTCCTGCCACGTGACTAGCTCACACAGCATGGCCACGTGTCTGGGGCTATTTCACAGAGGGACACAGTGCCACTGGTTCCAGTCACAGGGCATGGGGATATGATGCAGAGTGTCACTCATTTTCTGTATGGATTTGTTGGTTCTGGCTGTATGGCCATATATGGGGAAGCCACGTTTTTCCAGATCCTGCACATAGGCCCAAATGACATGGGTCATGAGGCCCTGGACCCTGTACTTGGGCACAGTGGCCCCCGCACGCATCTCTCCTGTCTGGTCCATCAGGGCCCAGGACACTGGAGTCCCCTCTGGCCCCAGGAGGCAGGAGGAGGGGAAGGTCCTGATACAACGCTCGATGAACCTCAGGCTCCTCTCGTTGCCGCCAAAACCCCAGAACTCATTCACCAGGGCAGCGTGGGTCACGTCCAGGGAGGAGAACTTAAACATCTCTTGGTTTCTGTTGAGAAGAGAAGAATAACTCATCACATCACACAGAGCATCATATTTGCTTTCCCCAAAATGGTTTCTGACTTTGCTAGTAAAAGCGCAGGTAAAAGCCTGGGTTTATTATCTGACTAGCTATGTGAGCTTGACTAGACTACTCCATGTTTCTATGCCTCCATTTCCTTTATAAAACATGATATTGGGCCTCCCCTGGTGGCGTAAGCAGTTGAGTGCCACGCTGTGAAGCTGTCCACAGCCTCTGCAGTGCCGGTTTGAACCCAGCCGGCCGGCGAGAGTCCCACATGGTGCGACAGACCTCGCCTGTCTCTCCCGCTGCTCCCCTCAGCAGTGTATTTTGTCAGTCTGCCTTTTCTGTTCCCCACTCTGGTGAATCTTCTCACCTTCCCACACATCTAGCCTGTACCCCGGTTCTTGTATAAATAAATAAATAAATCTTTAAAAACAAAAACAAAAATACAAACCAGCTCATTTCAGAAAATGACAAGAGCAGTAAAGAAAATAAGAAGCGGGTTTTGTGATGAAGAATTTTGAGAGTGTGTAGGATTAGACAGGGTGCTCTGAGCAGAACTTAAGGAAATCACATATGAGAGTATGAACAGTAGGGAGGAGATCAATATGTGAAGATCAGAGGAAATGAATTTTAGGCAGAGAGCAAATGCAATGGCCCAAAGCCATGTGTGAGACTATAAGGTCAAGTTGTAGGAAAGTGGGACAGAGTAGCTGGTTGGGGTGACCAAAAGGAACACCCCAAGATGAAGTCCAAGAAGTGAAGTTTGTCAGGTCTTATGGGACCATGAAGGTCCATACAGGAGTCTGGATTTTACTCCAAGTGAGGCAAGAAAGGTTGATGGCACCTAAGCCTGTGAACTGACATACTGCCTGTTAGATCAGCCAGACATGGAGATGGCGGGGGAGGGGGGGTTGCGGAGAGGAGCGAGTGTCAGGAGAAGAGATAGGTCTCAGCAGTAGAGCAAGATATGAGTACTCAGAGCATCTTGCTACAAACTCACATGGGCTTGGGTTCACCAGACAGAAGAGGTGAGTTCTTTGTCTCCTGCATAGAAGGGAGCAATTCCTTTGCCGTCTTGGGCGTCATATAGAGAAGGCATTGTGTTTGCTTGACCTGAACCGATTTAGCAGCTGCAACATTCTGTATTGACTCATGCAGGCTGGACTGTGAACCTAGAGAGGGAAAAAGAGAGAAGTAATTGTTCAATATATTTATTTATTTTTAAAAAATATTTATTTATTCATGCATACATGATCCGGGGTACAGGCCAGAGGTGTGGGAGGGTGAGAGGATTCACCAGAGCCAGAGTGGGGGACAGAACAGGCAGACTGACCGAAATACACTGCTGAGGGGAGTAGCTAGTGAGACAGGAGAGGTCTGCTGCATCATGTGGGCATCTCCCCAGGCTGCCAGGATCAAACCCATGCTGCAGAGGCTGCGGACAGCTTCACAGCACTGCGCTCCAATGCCTGTACCACCAGGGGAGGCCTCAATTTATTTTTTTTAAGATTTATTTATTTATGCATACAAGAGCCCGGGTATAGGCCAGAGGCGTGGAGGGTGAGAGGATTCACCAGAGACAGAGTGGGGAACAGAACAGGCAGATTCACTGAAATACACTGCTGAGGGTAGCAGCGGGTGAGACAGGCGAGGTCTGTTGTGCCATGTGGGTTAGCTCCATGGCCTGGGATGGAACTTGTGCTGCAGTGGCTGTGGATTGCTTCATAGTGCTGATGCTTAACCCCTTGTGCCACCAGGGAGGACTTAATTGTTCAATTTAGATGCTGAAAAGAAACTCCCCAATGGAAGTTTGCAGGATTTAAAGTCAGACACTTTTGCCTCTGGTGTTGCCAGTAACCATGTGACCACAACACTCCCCGAGTGTAACTTCTCTTACACAAACAGAGCTAATATTGATATTACTGGGCAATCAAAGGAAAAGTCATATTTATACAATGGTCGTCAACTTCACAAGTTCACATATTACATGCCCAGGTGCTGGTCTGTTTCCATATTTAATCCTTACATTGCCCCAATGCTTTAGGTGACTTTACTAGTCTCGTTTGTTTTTATATAAGAGGAAACTGAATAACCATTGTGACATCACTTGCTCAAGATCACAATACAGTGAGGAGGCGCAGCAAGGATGTCGTCACATGGAGTGACCCCAGAGGTCATGCTCGTAACCAGGGTGGTTGTGCTTGTGACCTGGGAGATACCCACTGGCTCAAGATATGATGCCAGGTTACGAGCTCTGCTATCACACCTGATCGCCTTAAATCTTCCTGTCTATGTCTGCAGAATAGATCACGAACGCTCATCTAATAAGAAACGGCCTTGCTCACAATTCCTTATACCAACACACAGTTTGCAATGTTGGGATTCTACCCACGGAAATGGTGGTGGCAGCACACGCAAGGAATGAACATCAGCTGAATGTCTAGGGTTTGGCAGAAAAAAGGGAAAAGCTGTAGGGAAATGTGCTCAGGGTGGAAAGTTAATCTGCAGGTATAGATGTGAGGGTCCCAGGGCAGGCAGGCATCCCAGATCCTGCACTTACTTTGGATCTGCAGTTGTTGTTTCCAATTGATGACATCAGATGTGCCGAGGAATTCTTGACAGTTCTTGGGATCCTTAGAATAGATGAGGTAGGTGTTGGCATAATGGTCTAAGTTATCTGTCATCTCCTGGGGGTTGGGTAATATGAAATAAACCCACTTGGTTATACAAGTGATTGGAAGTTTAGTATTTCATGACACTGTATTATTTCACAAACTTAAATACTGATTTTTTTCTTGACCTATTACCATTATTCCTGAATCATTTAGATCATGATGCAAAGTCAGAGGTTTAATCAATTACTCAATTGATGATTAAGAAAAATTTGCTGAAGTAGATATTTACATGTCACATTACAATTTCAAATCAACCACTTGGAAAGCATTCTTCTGCAATCCTGTGATCCTCCAGCAAAAGAAGCTATTACTATCAAAGGCAAATTTCCATTGCGAGAGTAAATTTTGCTCCATTCCAAAGAGTCTCAGAACAAAGGATTAAAAACAATACAGGATTGAAATTGACACAGGTAACCTTGAATTAGAATTTTCACTTACATATGGTAAAGATATATAAAATGCAGACACATAATATCTGTCAAATGTAACACACTATTATCTTAAAAAAGTAATTTGCATTCCCAACGAAATTGATGCACAGACATTCAAAAAGATTGTCTCTAAGTTTCCAGCTAAGAGATGGGTCTATTTGAAGATGAAGAAAAGTTAAGAGAACAGTTACGCAGCAAGGGTAGACTATCTGGGAAGCGCAGCACAGAAAAGTCCTCATAACTCAGGGTTAGTATCACTGATAGTCAGTGCCTTCACAGAGTTGGGTGTTGTTTTCTCTGCTTAGAGTATGCCCTTTGTTCCTGCCAGCCTGTCAGGAAGTTAGTAAAAAAATCCAACTTTGGTGAGATGTACTCCAGGAAGGTTCTCTGATCCTCTCCCTGTACCCTTTTTATCTGTAAGTTTTAAGTATCTCTTGGCCAGCGCTACCTCCGTGTCTTGTATATTTTGGTGCATTTTCATATCCATCTGTAATTTATTTACTTATGTTTTCTTCCAGGCCATGAGGTGCTTAGGCCATCAGTGATGCGTTAGCATGTCTGCCAAGGACACCCGGGGCACAAAGCAAATAAGAGCAGAGAAGTTATTCATCGCATATTTAACAACGTACCTGCTCCTGGGGGCGGACAACCACAGTGCCAAAGTCAGGCCACTTGTCCACCAGGGCCTTGAGGTTGAACAGGTTTCCCCGGTTCATGTGGAAGACGGTCCCATAAACCTGCAGCATCCCAGGAAAGGGAGGGGTCAGCTGGTGAGGAAGGAAGGACAGAGTCTCCCCTGGGAATCAGGTGCAGGATCTAATATGACATCTAGTTTACAGCAATATTCTATGGATAACTCCTTATAAGATAGATCATGGCACCCTAAAACAAGAACAAAATCCAGAAACAAGCCACCTCCACGGTGCAAGATGCTAGGCCCATTTCTAAAACAACATCTCCACCTCATCCTAAATTAAACGTCATCTTTGGGTTTTGACAGAATAGAAACTGCTCTCTTATTTGTTTCAAAGAAAAATCACCACGGTTAGTCTTTCATCAAGCACTCAATTGTTTAGGCAGAATCAATTAAACATTAATTCCTTAGTTTGTCAACTTTGCCATTCTGGGCAAACTTCCACTGTTGCATAACACAATTCATGGCGGGGCACAGGAATGTTTCGGGGTCATAATGTTATAGAGCAACCCCGATATTAAACGGGTTCCTGGCTGTGGGTCCTCACCCGCGCGCTTTAAAGGGACTTATGAATACTCTACTACAGACACACACAAAAGGGTTAATAAAAGGTTTATTTACAAGAGAAAAAGAAATAAGGAAAATGTACAACTCAGGGAGAAAATAGGGAAATAAAGTCTTTAATGCGTCCTACCCGATCCGACGACCTGGAAACCCAAAGTCACTCTCAGAGCTGGCCGGACGCTGCAAGCTGGCAGAGAGCCAAAAATGGGGGATCCTCCAAAGCCCACGTGTCTGCCTTTTATATCCACCTGGCTGCTTAACCCCACCCTCAGGTCCCAGCCACCTTCCCTTTGGTGGTGATGGGATTTGGAGTTCCCAGTGTCTTTGACTTTGACCCAGGGTGGGGGTGGAGTCCACAAAGCCTATATGGAATTAGCTTTGGGACATCCTTTTCCCCCCTAACAATTACAGCAAAGATCAACGAGGAGACAGCTCAGACTGCCAGTCAAGTTGGTGTGATCGTGGTCAGGTCACACACCTGAGCCTCCACTTCCTCTTTGGGTTGTGGACAGCACAGATCTGCCTTGCAGGGAAGTGGTGGGAACTACAGAGATGCAAATGGATGATACAGAACAGGGGCTCTGTGAAGGTTCCTCCTGCCAGCCTTGCCCAGGTGGGCATTGCTAGTTTGAGGAGTTTCTTTCTCACCTTTAAGGACTCTGGGAGGCTCTTCCTCAGAGATTTCTCTAGCATCTGCAGCATTTGTCCGCCTTGTAAGTGTAACATGTTGGCAGGTACCTTAACCTAAAGTGAGGATGAAGAACATCAAAGAATGAGACCTATTGAAAGCCATGCAAAGACCCAAAACAGACAGACAGGCACTTCTAGCCGTGTGGATGCCTCAGATCCCCTTGTATTCAGGATTTTGCTTGGTGCCCAGAGTTGCTGCTGGTTAAGCTAAATTAGAGTCAGGCAGAGAGCCTCTCAGTCCCATGTCACTCCCAAGGTTGCAGCTCCATCAAGTGACATAACAATCTGGACTCAAGCCTGCCCTGTCATTTCCCTGGTGCTGGCTTGGCTGAACTCCTCCTCCTGAACTCCAAGGACGAGTAATTTTGGCAGAAAATGCAGGTGCCTCCTTTTCAAAATTATTCCTACTACTTTTAAAACTCTGAAATTTTCATTTTTATAACATCCGGGCTGCACTGGCATTAACAAATACATTCTCTAAGCGGGCTGGGTCATTCCCACCTTGTTCAGAAAGCCAGAGTAGACCAGGAGTGTCAGCAAGGCAAAGTCGATGCTGGGTGGAGCTTCTGCCTGGAGCAGGGAGAGCTTGGCACTCTGAAAGAGCCTCTCCTGCCCCGCCCCTGTAAGAGAGGGTGTGCATTTAAAGGGGAAGGCCTAAGGGCTTCCCCTGCACCCACATGAGGCCAGCTGGTCTACCTAACAACTGCTGTGGATCATTTAGCAGGGGAAGGCTCTTTATTCTTTTAATGGGTCACTTCGACCCCAGGCAGTTTCTAGGAGACTTGGGTGTTGCCCATTGAAAAGACTGCTTGGAGAGAGGGGTCAGCAAGCTCACCTGGGATGGTTGTGGGAGCTGGCATCCCTCACCAGCCTGCCCGCCTTGTGGAAAAGACCCAACAAAGGGTAAATGATTTAACTCCTCTGTGCCCTGGAACAGACCCTTCCATGAGCAGTTCTGACCCAGCAGTTAGCACAGGTAAGTGCTCAGAACAGTGCCTGGACCACAGTAAGCAATCATTTAGCTGTTACTCCTAGCATTATTACTCATTATTATCATTAGCAGAAGCAACAGTCAACTCACAATGCCTGCCAAAAAATTCTATGGGGTGACTTTTCTTCTGTACAAGACTTTGTGGTGCAGATTAAATGGGGTGATCTGTGTGATACATGAGATCATGAGTTGTAAGCCTGTAGCTTAATACCTGACAAGGAGCAGTATTTAATGTGTGTTAACTGTTTTAATTATTGCTGTCCTTATAGCTTAAAGAAAGTGTGTCTTTTCTTCCTCAGTCAAGGAAAAAAAATCATTTCTTATGATCCTTCTTGTGGGGAAAAATAAATAGTGTAGCCTTTTGCACACAGGACTATGAGAACCATCTGAAAATATTTTAAAATGACTTAATCCTGCCCCTGCTCTTTTTATTTAGATTTTAGAGGAGCATGACATGTAGAAATTTGTCTATATTTTAAAGCTTTTCAGATTATTTTTGTTATCATTGGTCACCTTCATTCAGGTATAATTACATACAATAAATAACTGATTTTAAGTGGCTACTTGGGCGGATTGTGAAAAAATGTATATATTTTGTTATTAGCACCGTGATGATAACGTATACATTTGAATACCACCAAAAGTTTTCTCGTGTGCCTTTATAATCTTCCACCTTCCCTTACTCCCAAGCCCTAGCCATCCTAAATCTGATCTCTGGCTTGTGATTTTTCCTTTGACAGGATGTCCAATAAAAAAGAATAATTTCATGTGTAACTTTTTGAGGCTCAGTGGGCAGCATGAGGAGCACCCCGGGACCCCAAACCTGCCTGCTCAAAATGGGTTCTGCTACCACCGCATAAAGACAAACATACTTGTAGCGTATAAGACCTTCGATGGAAAAGTACGTTAATGTAATAGTGTGTGTAGGGCCAGAGGGGAAACACAGAGTTCTCTCAGAGTTTCTCAGACTGTTTTCCCTGTGACCTGCCAGCACAGGTGCCTAGTGGGTAACATGCAGCCTGGAGACATGGTCCGCATGTGGGGAGAGGGGTTAATAATAGGTGACCTTGAGTATAGTTTTCATGAATGAAACCTATTTCTGTGAACTAGGCCTAAACTTGGCCCTTTGCTGGCTTTGTCTATCAGTCATGTAAAACCTAACAGGGCCTCCCTGGTGGCCTAGGGGCCAAGTCTCAGACTACCTTTGATAACGAATCCCAGCCTCAGTTTCCCTCAGACAATAAAAGAAAACAGAGTTTGAGGAAAAGGAAAGCGGTTTAATTTCTTGACAAATGAGGAGGGCAGCAGACTTATGTCTGAAAGACCACCATCCTGCTCTTTGGCAGAGGGCAGGGGTATTTATACAAAGGGAAGAAAGGGGGTTGGGTGAGGGTCTGCAAAGGGGCAGGGGAAGGGGTTCACACAGAGACAGGTGGGTGCCAGTGTAGGGTAAACAGTTTTCAGGCTTTTCTGCCTTCCCACTGTTAGGATTGCCCTCCCTGATGGGGGTACCTGCAGTTGTTACATTGTTGCTAGCTGGCTTGTTTCCTTCCCTGGGCCATCTGCGGAGTTTTGAGATAGTCACTGAGAGCAGCAGAAGCAGGAGAGAAGCAAGAGAGAGAATAGCAGGAGAGAGAAGGGGCGAGAGAAGCCAGAGAAGCCCAGAGTGAAGACTTGGCACCCCTGCCTGCCATGTACCTGTTTGCCACACTACATGTGCAGCTCAATACAAGCCTGAGAAAGCCACTGAGGGCTCCAGGACTCCTCTTTTACCCGATCTGCAGGGATCATAGATAACTTGCTCTGTGCCTACCCTGCCTCCACAGCCAGCTTGCTTTTTTCAGCAACTGCTGCTAAAGGCCCTTTTCCTTGGAATGCAAGAAGACAAGCCTGTCAAACAAGGGGGAAATTGCATAAAATACAGGAAAGACAAGCTAATTAATGCTTATCTGAGAGACTGGTCATTTGTAACTGCATGTCCACCTCTATCACCTCCAAGGCCTGAGTTCGATCCCCAGCCAGGGAGCTGACCCACATGGCACAGCAGATCTATCCTGTCTCGCCTATTGCTCCCCTAAGCTGTGTATTTCAGTAGATTTTCTCTTCCTTACTCTGTCTCTGGTGAATCTTTTCACATCCCGCTCCTCTGGCCTACACCCCAGTTCTTCTACGCAAAAAAACCAAAAAACCAAAAAAAACCCTATAGGGCTCTTTGGGGAGATGAACCTACAAAGTGTTAACTGTCTTGACAAACATTCAGCTTTGTCTCCAAACAGGACTCTGAACTTTGACCCACCCTCAGCCTGAGCCAACATCGGGTAGGAGCTGGGAACATGGAAGCCCACTGTGAACCTTGCTTTCCCTTCTTTATTAAAAAGAAAGTAGCCTTTTTATCACTTCTCAGCCTTTTGGTTAAGATCAAGTGTAAAATAAAAAGTCTTTTTCTGCCTGACCTTGCAGATGTTTGCAAATCCTGTGAGTTGCGAGCTCTCCGGTTTGAGATAGCCCTTCCTCCCCATTACCGAGTCCCTGCTGTGACAATCCTGTCCAACAAAGTCTCCCCTGAACTAAGCATGCAGGTTTTTTTTTAATGCATCCACACTTTGGTGTAGCTGTGTTATCAGTGAGCTGGATTTTTGTGACTGGCCTCAAAACCTGAGCATGTATCTCCTCATCCATTCGTTCATTCCCTCGCTCACTAAATATTGACTGAGCTCCTAGTGTTGTGGGCTTGTAGGGTGTCACTAGCTAGGCTGAGCGTCATTGCCTGAATTCCTTTTCTTTCGTGTTTCCAGCTAGGTGAGTCCACACAAGAGAGTCCTAGGAGAGATTTGGGGGGCAGAACAGCAGAAGCTGTTGACTAAAAGCGGTGGACAAGAGGCTGTGCCTCATCAAGTACTTGTCGATTTCCCTGAGAGTTCACAGACAGAGATGCTGTTTCTCAGTGGAGGCATCTGAGGCAGCACCAGAAGCTGCCCTGGAAGAGGGTGGTGGTGGATGCCTGTTGCTCTGCCATCCCCCTGACAAGTGTGGGGTCACCTTTTTGTGTTAGGAACCAGGGAGAGTGTTAGCCTCCAATGGTGTTGAATTTGAGATTCACAAAATCCTGTGGATTTGCAAATCTACAAGAATTGCAAAAATCTTTCATGCATCCAGAGGAAAGTCAATATTGTCTAAACTGATTTCTTTACCTACTTTCCTGACTGTTCTTTTAAAGTTCACATCTGCACTGTTTTTCATGTCCATGATCTTAGCCCCTCACTGCTAGGGAAATTGATTTCAGCTGGCTTCTCTGCTCACTGGCTTTCCAACTCTCTGATTACTGTGTTTAATGTCTTCCCTTTTGCTTGACTCCTTGGGAACAGTGGTCTTTGGGGATGATCAAGTAGACTCTAGTTTGGAGAAATGGTACTGGTATTAGTTTCCACTGAGAGGCATCTTCCAGGTCTCATTACATTTTTGTTTGATATTGTTGCTTGAACATATTGAAGAATTCTTGGATATATTCATTGATAGATAGCATCATATTAGTTTCAGGTGCACAGCACAATGATTTGCTGTGTGTATATTACATAATAATCACCACATTGAGTCCAGTTAGCACGGTGGTTAGTTGTCATCATGGTTTTCATTGATTTCCTTGGTAAT